CCTCCTCCTCGTCCTCCTCATCGTTCTCCTCTTCCTCCTCCTCTGATAAGTATTACTATTACTAGTAGGTTTGTTATTCCCCACATGCATAGTGGGGTTCTGGTTTTCTTCCCCTGCCGCGTCGCACCCGCGTTTCTCCTCTTCCTCCTCCCCCCTCCTTCCCTCTTCCCTCCACACAGCCAGGGGCTGGTGTGATGATTCCCTCTCTCTTTTTTCTGGTTCCCTACATCAGCACAAGCAGACACATGAGCACACAGCAGACACACATCCACAGTCGACATCACAGTCATCACATACATCCACCATACACGCAGCACACAGACACACAGCACACAAACAGCACCCGTACACAATACCAGCACAAACAGACACAGCACGCACACGCAGCAAACAGGCAAACAGCACAAACGTGCAGGGGGTGGTCTCTCACCGCGGTTCTCTATCCGTCTCAGGGTCGCGGGGCGGGGCAGGCGTGGCACTTTCTCGACGCCAGAGAGGGTGCGCAGGGGGTGGTCTCTCACTGGTCTTTCTATCCGTCTCAGGGTCGCGGGGCGTGGCAGGCGTGGCACTTTCTCGACACCAGAGAGGGTGCGCAGGGGGTGGTCTTTCACTGGTCCCTCTATCCGTCTCAGGGTCGCGGGGCGTGGCAGGCGTGGCACTTTCTCGACACCAGAGACGGTGCGCTGGGGGTGGTCTCTCACTGGTCTCTCTATCCGTCTCAGGGTCGCGGGGCGTGGCAGGCGTGGCACTTTTCTTCGGACCCAAGGAGGGGTGCGCAGGGGTGGTTCTCACTGGTCTCTCTATCGTCTCAGGGTCGCGGGGCGTGCAGGCGTGGACACCTTCTCAGACACCCGAGAGGGTGCGCAGGGGGTGAGTCTTCATTGGTCTCCTCTATCCGTCTCAGGGGTCGCGGGGCGTGGGCACGGGTCGGCACTCTTCACGGACACCAGAGAGGGTGCGCAGCCTGTGGTCTCTCACTGGTCTCTTTATCCGTCTCAGGGCCGCGGGGCGTGGCAGGCGTGGCACTTTCTCGACACCAGAGAAGGTGCGCAGGGGGTGGTTTCTCACAGGTCTCTCTATCCGTCTCAGGGTCGCGGGGCGTGGCAGGCGTGGCACTTTCTCGACACCAGAGAGGGTGCGCTGGGGGTGGTCTCTCACTGGTCTCTCTATCCGTCTCAGGGTCGCCGGGCGTGGCAGGCGTGGCCTTTTCTCGACACCAGAAAGGGTGCGCAGGGGGTGGTTTCTCACAGGTCTCTCTATCTGTCTCAGGGTCGCGGGGCGTGGCAGGCGTAGCACTTTCTCGACACCAGGGAGGGTGCGCAGGGAGTGGTTTCTCACTGGTCCTCTCTTTTCCGTTCTCAGGGTCGACCCACCCCCAAGGGGCCGTGGCTGGCGTGGCAACTTTCTCGACGCTGTTCTCCACTCCACAGGGGGTTGCCCGCTAAGGGGGGGGTCTCTCTTGTCTCTTTATCGTCTCAGGGGGGGGGTCGCGGGGGCCGTGGCAGGCGTGGCACTCTTCTTCGACTCCAGAGAGGGTGCGCTGGGGGTGGTTTTCTCACAGGTATCTTCTGTCCGTCTTTAGGGGTCGCGGGGTTCTCGTGGCTGGCGTGGCACTTTTCTCGTACTCCAGAGAGGGGTGCGCAGGTGCGCATGCGGGGGGGTGGTCTCTCATTGATCTCTCTATCCGTCTCAGGGTCGCGGGGCGTGGCAGGCGTGGCACTTTCTCGACACCAGAGAGGGTGCGCAGGGGGTGGTCTCTCACTGGTCTCTCTATCCGTCTCAGGGTCGCGGGGCGTGGCAGGCGTGGCACTTTCTCGACACCAGAGAGGGTGCGCAGGGGGTGGTCTCTCACTGGTCTCTCTATCTGTCTCAGGGTCGCGGGGCGTGGCAGGCGTGGCACTTTCTCGACACCAGAGAGGGTGCGCAGAGGGTCGTTTCTCATTGGTCTCTCTATCCGTCTCATGGTCGCGGGGCGGGCGTGGCAGGCGTGGCACTTTCTCGACACCAGAGGGGGTGCGCAGGGGGTGGTCTCTCACTGGTCTTTCTATCTGTCCCAGGGTCGCGGGGCGTGGCAGGCGTGGCATGTTCTCCACTCCACAGGGGGTGCGCAGGGGGTGGTCCGTCACCGCGGATTCTATCCGTCCCAGGGTCGCGGGGCGTGGCAGGCGTGGCATTTTCTCCGCGCCACGGGGGGTGCGTAGGGGGCAGGTATCGCGGGTGCATTCCATCAGTTGCACTTGCATGGGTTTTCGCAGTATCCAGATCTGTAAGTTCTCTGGCTCAAGCCAGCTCGGAGCGCCAGGGCACCTAATCGAAGGCCGCAATTGGTTGTTGCGCAGGCGCGCTAGCCATGCCGCCTAAAATTGCGATGGGCGAGCTGCCGCCTCCGTGCTCGTCGCTGAAGAAAAAATGATTCAGAATGGCGGCGAGGTAAGCTTGGCAGGCTTACGCTGCTGCTCTGAAGCGACGGTGGTCCCCGCATTTCACGCGTACCGCCGCCAGCTGAAAAATTGGTGGCCCAATACCTTGCACGTCCAGGGCACAGCGGTATCGGCGGGGCAACGGCCACCAACATCATTCTCACATGCGTCACTTCAGCTCTCTCATCACTCCAGCCATAATATAAGTATGTGGGGTTCCTCGGTAGCGTAATTTTCGTTTCCCTGTACCTCCCCCACAAAACGAAGAACAAAGCACAGCCCAAGCCCAGCAAGACAACGTTTGGGCCCAGCCCTGCCCAAAGAAGAGCACACGAGCTGTACACGCACAAACTTTCGGAACTCCGCGCGGAGGTCTTGGGCCGCAGCTGAACCCTGTCCTGGGCGCGCGGAGCGCGCCGCGGGCGACGCCAGAGGCGCCGCCAGGGAGGCCCAGCGCCGATCGGAGGCATCCGCGCGGGCCGCCGAGGGCTTGTGCCTACGCCGTTCCCTGCTGCTCGAGATTGGCGGCGCGCACAAGGGGGTGGAGGGAAGGGGGAGGGCTTCTTAGAAGGAGGCTGCTTCTTGGAAGGCGCTGGCCTTACGTCTTCAGATAGGCCCCGCGCCTTCTAAGAAGCAGGGGTGCTTCTAAGAAGCCCTCCCCCCTCCCCCCACCCCCCTCTGCGCGCGGCTGACGAGGCCTGGGGGCACTGCCGGAGCTCGAAGGCGCCGTCGCCGTCGGCACCCAGCCAGAAGCCGCCGGCCAGGCGGTCGGGTGCCACCCACCTCCCCGAGAGCGTGGCGTCCATCCCGCCGCTGGCAGAGCGCACGAGCAGGTGCCCCTCGGGAGTCCGCTCGGCGACGACGTCCACGACCCTGCCGAGCATGAACCACGTGCCGCTTGCGCCGTGCTTCGCCCAGGTCAGCTCGAGCTGCAAGGGGATGTTCGTGCCGAGCCGGTGGTGCGACGCGCGCCCCTGGTGCACCGTCAGGTCCCCGGGGGGGCGCTCCTTTCGGCGGCCACTCACGAGGGCCTCCAATGCCATCTTGTTGGCTCCTGCGAACCGACGCTGATCGACGCTTCTCGACGCTACATCGACGCAGATCGACAATGCATCGGCGCTCCCCTCATCGATTACCAGGCGCTGGATCGACGCGAGTGCACTCGAAAGGCGGAAGTGCGAGGGCCCAGATCTCCAGTGATGGGGGAACTGGCTCCGGACATGCGACTGCTTGCAGCAGTGCGCCCTGCGGGGGAGACCCCATCCGCTCGAAACAGGCGCCCCCCGCAAACAGCCAGGATCTGCTCCATGGGGGGGGAGGGGAAGCGAGGGCCCGCGCCGATCGGCAAAACGGTGAACCACAAAAACGACGACTGCGTGGGCTCCCAGGGCTCCCATGTTGGGGGGCGGAAAGATACGGATACGTGTTGTCCCCGGACCTCTCTTGGGGTGCGTTCTGACCAGAGTTTCGAGGCGAATCCAGCGGTGACAACGAGGATTCCCCAGGAGGACCAGGAAAGGCCGAAAACGAAGGGGGACAACACGTATCCGTATCTTTTTCTCCCCCGACAAGGCTCCCATGATTCCCCACCGGATCCTGGAACACCGGCGACCGCTCCGAGTCGGTCTCGTCGTCGAGGTGCTCACACGGCTCCGGCCACTGCAGCCCGCTGCGCAGGGGCCCGTCGCGCGCGCACCCGCGGGCGCACGGCGCCTCGGGGGCAACGGCGCGGCACAGCCACCGCGCTGGGCACTCCTCCTCCTCCTCCTCCTCCTCCTCCTCCTCCTCCTCCTCCTCCTCTCCTCCTCCTCCTCCTCCTCCTCTACTCCTCCTACTCCTCCTCCTCCTCCTCCTCCTCCTCCTCCTCCTCCTTTTCCTCCTTTTCCTTTTCCTCCTTTTCCTCCCCCTTCTCCTCCTACTCCCCGGACCTCTCCGGGGCTGCGTCCCGGCGAGGCTTTCGAGGCCAACCCCGCCCTGGCGACGAGGACCTCCCAGGACGAGCAGCAGCGTCTCGCCTCCCAGACCCCCGACGTCATGATTGTTTCATGACGCGACCCCCAGAGGTCCGGACCTCTTCGCCGGGACCGGTTTTCACCCCGAGTCGTTTTTTGAGGGCCCCGAGGGCCGGTCTAAGGGCCCCCAGAGGCCGAACACATCGAAAAACTCCCATCGTGATTTTTGCATGACTCGAGGGGCTCTGGCCTCCTGCCCCCTCCGAGCCTCGGGCCCGCCGAGCGGGAAGCGCGCCAGGAAGTCCGAGAGGTCGCCGCGGTGGCCGCCGGCTCCCCTCGCCACCTCCTCTCGGCGACTCCAGAGGGTGTGGTGTGCAGAGGGCGTGGCTTGCAACCGGCACCCTTCAAGGGGCCCGAGGACACACAAATAAATACACACAAACAAAACGATTCCCCACATGTTCGCATATTTCCCCATATTTTCTTGGGGATCGACGATTCATTGTGTCTGTGTGTTTTTTCCCCTCCTGAGCCCTGGGGAGCATCCTGGGGCGCGCGGGGACCTCGATGGAGCTCTCCCGCGCCCCGAGGCCCGACAAGGACGGCGTCGTGCCCCCCAGGCCCCCACGGCGCCGCTTGCAAGCCGCACCCCGGCGTGACCATACGCGTCGTTCACTTCTGATCGTGCTCAGTTCTAATTGTGCTCGTTTCTACTTGTTGTCCTGGCCCCCCCAGTGGCCAGGAAGAGGCCCAGGATGGAACGATTAGAAATGACAGGACTTTGGCCCCCCCCCAAACAATCACAGAACCTCAGAAAGATTATAAACATGAACCAGGTGTACCCTTTCCCTCCACCTCCATCTTCCACACCTTCCGACCTCTGCGGAAGGCGCGGAAGGTGATGCATTGAAACTACGAAGAAGCCTCCGGAAACGCAAGAAAAGTCAGCGTTTCACGAAGCGCAAGAGTGTGGAAAGTCAGCACGGAAGGTCTGGAAGAATGAGGGCGAGAGCTGTGGTCGCCGATCCTCGCCGCGGTGCGGGGGCCCGCCGCCCAGGCGGACAGCGGCGGCGCCGCCGCGGCGCATGTGTCGGCCGCGGAACGGAGCGCGGAGGGCTGGCGGAGCCTCGTCGAGCGGCACGCCGCGCGCCGCGCGGGGGCCGGCGCGAGGAGCGGCCTGTGGGCGCCGGAGTGGCCCTGCGCCGAGGCAGCT